ATTAAGCGTAAACTACATTACAAGTAAGAGAACTTCCATTTTAAATGCCTTTATATGTTAAAATTTTTATCGACAACAAAAGTCAATATAACGTCATAAAATGTAATATATATAAAATTTAAGTTTTTAACTTGTAAGAGGCCATCCATACGTACGCAAAAATATCGCGAATTTCGACCCCCCTCGCCCCTGCTGCATGGCGTACTTTTTCCAGTAACCACCCCCCCCCCAAAAAAAAAATGGCGTACGTACTGACACTCAAATATATATTTATTTGTGTACCTATTTTTATAAATATGTGTGCGTGTGTGTTTATAGAAACTCTAACTTTTTAATAATATTTTGAAATGAAATTGGCCTGTCCTGTGTCAGTGTATCTGGAGTCAATGGGTCAATAGTGTGGAGTGTCATGAGTGTGGATTCTTTAGATAAACGTGATTGACCTTACAAATATGATACATTCAAATACATTTATTATGACAATTGACAATGTATGTAAACTTTGGGTTAAATTATTAGATTAATAAATATTACTTAATAAATAAATTTTATTTTTAATACAATTATTTGGGACCCGCCAAATTTTTTTAAGACCTGCAAGGGACCCGCCATGTTAAATTTGATGGCGTCGCCACTGCCGACCCCTGCTCTAGAGTAAAGCATTTATTCTGCAGATACTGCTGTGTAAGATTAACTTCCTTAAGTAGATTAGCCCACAGGTAAAGGTACGGTAGCACACAGCGGCGTAGCGAGGGTGTTTGGCACCCGGGGACAAGATTCGCGCCCGGGGACAAGATCCATTTTAAAGCGCCCCTTTTTCTTCTTTTTAACTCTCAAACCCGTTAATTTCATCAATAAAATAATATCAAAGCGCATTTTGGCGCCCCTAACTACCTGGCGCCCGGGGACATCTGTTCCCCCCTGCACCCCCTTCGCTACGCCTCTGGTAGCAAAAAAGCTTGAAATCACAGACAACATTTAAAAGACGCTGTACTGTAGCATGTAAAAGACGCTGTACTGTAGGATTTAAAAGACGCTGTACTGTAGCATGTAAAAGACGCTGTACTGTAGCATGTAAAAGACGCTGTACTGTAGGATGTAAAAGACGCTGTACTGTAGGACAATCGTGCTCAAACGTTAACGGGCGGTGCTAGTAACGAATCGACGAAAATATTTAGTTTTGAGTATTTCTGGGTTTCGATAGATTTGGTTTCAAAAACATAAAAATTTTTTTTTAAAAATAAATTTAACCAAATCATTAAAATACATAAGAGCATTTTGTGAAATAGTATTTTGTTAACCCTATAAATGGGTAAAAAGTCTTTAAAAAAATGTTTTTAATGTTAACCGATTCGATTCATGTACTCATAATGACCCTGTCACATTGTATTTGATATCAATAGAAAGCTTTATTTCTCAGACTTTAGATAAAAATAGCTTCCCCGATCACATACCAAAGTTACCGAACACTTCAATAGGCGTTGAATCACGATCAAAGAAGTGTTTTTCTGACCTAATTATAGTGCCACCTAATTTCTGACGCATTAAAACTTGAACTTTTAATAAAGCATACATTTGGATGGGTTATATGTGTGGAAGATTGACGTGTGATCGGTTATCATTTTATGAAATTCGGCTAGACTGAGCAGTGTGTGCACTGTAAATATAACATTTTTCAATTTGGAATTTGGTGTCACCCCATGAGGCGGTGTCACCCGGTATGATCCGCACCCTCCTAGCTACGCCACTGTATAGCCTACTATTGGGGGGGGGGGGGTTTACGGAAATGTTTTATTGTGTTATAAGAGGTAGGTTGGGGGATGTTAAAAAGTCATATTTTTGTTTTACCGGTATATGCGTGCACGGTCCCAGACAACAAAAGTACAATTTTTAAATTTATTTTCTGAAATGCTTTATTAATTAAAGTAAGAATTTTNCCCAGCCCCCTTAAAGGAAAAAAAAAAAAAAAAAAAAGTTACATTGGCTAATAATAAATTTTGACGTAATCAGGTACAGGAACATACGCTTTAGAATCAGTTTGCCTAAAGTTAGACATCGCAACCGTCAACATGAAGTTGATACTCTGCCTCATTACTTTGTTTATTTCATTGACTGTCTTTGGTAAGCTTGGAA